TCGTCTTCATACTAGAGGGGCCTAAATAATTATGTATGCTATTTTGGCTCCTTTTACAACTATAGTATTCATAATGGGCCCAAAACCTTATTTTAATTACTAAGGCCCCTATATTAGGAGGGTTTGGTGGTATCTTACAAGTTATAGTACGAGTTATGATAGTTCACAAGGAACCCTAAGAAAGAATGTCCCTAGGGTCGGGAGAACCCAGGTAACCGGGCTTTAGGTACCAAAAACCAGTGAGAGTACGAGTTTGGGTACGTACTATGCAGGCGTTAGCACCTGCTGTGTTCAGCGCAGGCCGTAAGGGTTGAATCCCACGACCTATCGATACCTATCGTGTTACGGATTGTAAGTCTACTTGGGACCCATAGCTAGTTTGCGTGGATTGAAGCTACAGGTATGGTTTGTAAACTGTATGTTGTGAGGATCCGGATTTACGGAGCAACATGTAGGCAGGTGTGGGAATGGTTATAAGTAGGGCAGTAGAGTCAGCACTTTCTGAAAGCAAGTACAACCAGGTAGAGCGCTGTAAAACCTACCTGTGACCCACACTTGAAACTCTAAGACACCCTTAGACCCGCAGATGCCAAATCGCCCCACTCCTCCGCATAGGTCCAAGAGCAGGCATCCATGCACTGCCGGTAAAATATAATCTAAGGGCCTTAATAATAACCGATGTATACTATTTCGGGGCTCCTTAGCATAAGTATAATATACCCCAAAACCCTATTCTAATCATTAAGGCCCCTATATTAGAAGCCTTAACTAAACACTGGTATAGGGTTTGGGGGTAGCTAGACTCAACCGTGTCTTCCCTCATTGACGGGCTTTGGACTCTCTGGGCCTACATCTTGATCCCGATAACACTAATCCGGAATCATCAGATTCCTCTCGCCAATAGCTCGTCTTACCCCTCATCCGTCAAAACAGCCTCGATTGCAGGGACCATAATTTTGACAACCACTCATTTATTTATGATTCCAATTAGGGCACTTATAACCTTACCAACAAGTCCCACGATCCTCGAAGTAGACCCTAAACCCTAAACCCAAATCCCGAAACTCTAAAGACTCAACCCGAAATACAAGTAGGCCTAGCACCAAAACAATGGACATAGCAACCCCAACGACTTGAATTCTGGTTGATTCCTAATGCTCAAACCATCGGGCTCGGGCTTGCCTAGGTTCTAGTTCTTGGTGAGGAAGTTCAGGGTTTAGGGTTAAAACGAAGGCGATCGCAACAGGGATCTAGGGTGAATAACAGGGATTGCTTATCATGGTGACTCCGGTGAAACTCCCTAACGGGAGCCCAGTTGTGTGCCCACGGACTAGGTTTCCAACAACCTGGCACAATGTCGCCACGCTCTGCAAAACTCATACCCTAAACTTCAATCCCACTAAGGGCCTAATGCCCAAAACCAACCCACGACCCGAAAGACCTAAACCCTAAAACGTAAACACTTGAATGCCCCGCATCTCTAAGCCCAGCATGAAACCCAAGCCCTAACCGAGGTCTCTGCATCCAGGACTCCACCCATGCCATCTGCGCCTCTTCGCTTTTCCCAATTTTTGATCAAAGGGGAAAAGGAGGGACCCTTAATGGGGACCCCTACCCTATAATGGGCTATATAATGGGTATATAATAGCTATATTAACGGTATATAGGGGTCCTTGTTTTCGGGTCCCTCCTTTTACCCTTGGATTTGAGGGAGTTCCAGTCTCCAGCTTAGGGTGTCGGGGGGCTCATCCTTCAAGGATTTTTCGGCCCGAAGACCATGCCGTAGGAGGTCGTGGGGCTATTTTCCAGGAGTTGAGGGGCCTAGAATTTGGGAGTGGGGGGGGTTTGGGGTTCAGGCGTTTAGGGTTTGGGCGTAGATGTGCTGAGGTTCCTTATCCTGTCAGAAACTTTTTGCAGGACTGCTACACACTCCAATATCGAACTTACAGGGGCCCTAGAAAAGTTAGGTTATGGCAAATCATGTTATTGGGGTCCATGATCAACAGTAAGCATAACTACCTGTGGGCACGTGAACCCCAGGCCCCACAACCCCAGCAACATGCCCTGCTGCTCTCAGGGTTTACATGGGGTTTATAGGGCTGAGGGCTTATGGGGTTTAGGGTCTTAGCTTTTTGCCGCACAGTGGTTGAAGACATCATGCAGACTGCACCGTGCCCCCGACATCGAACAGATTCTGCTAAAGACTCACCTGGCCAGCATTCTGCATATTGTATACAACACCCTCAACCCAATACCACACAAAGCAGGTTTTACTTGTTGATACCCCACATAATCACCACCCACAGCAGTACATCCCCAAAACGTCCTAAAGAGACTCACAGGGACGCAAAAACTGGCCTTACTTACCTAGACTAACCAGTGCAGGCTTAAGAAAGGAATCAGACCCTAAGCAAGTGTTGCATTTACCGAATTAGGGGCTGTGTACCCCAGCCCAGAACAAGGTTAGCCTGTTGAACGATGGTAGGATTACATTACCCCTAAAAAGTTAAACGTTATCTACTCAGCTACTAAGTAATAACCTTATGGTACCCCTATGGATCCCTTAAAGAACCCACCTTGCAGTACCCTAAACCCTAAAGGTTACTTACCGTTGTGAAGGTACTTTGGTTACTCTAGGTACTGCATCTCGCCTGAAAGCATCGTCCTCTGAACGGCCCAGACAGCTTGGGCACTGCCCCGCTTGGAGGTTCATGGGTAGTTATACCCGGGCTTATAAGTACGGTAACTAGAGTCATAACCCATATTAGGGGACTTATAACTCCATTTATAATACTATATACCAACGAACCTCCAAGCGGTTTTGCCAACAGCCCTGTAGCTGTGTCTGCGGTTTAGGGTTTAGACTTATGAGCCCTGCAAGGCACAAAGGGTCGCTACACCAAGTTTTATCTGCCAAGGTGAGGCACCGGGGCTTCCAGAATCAACCCCTACGATCTTGTGATTTCGGGCTTCGGGCCCTCTTACCTTTGGTTAGTAGGGAATGGAAGAATGGTAGTAATAGTGTACCCCATTCCTCCATTCCCTACTAACCAAAGGTAGGGATAGCTTGCGAACTTCCACGGTTCCCGTCGCGACTGCAGCAGAATGTCCTGCAGCTTCTTCCCCGAATCCAGAGAGCCTGTGGCGTCACGCAACGGTGCCCACAACATACCCCCTACTGCTGCGCACTTTGATCGATTGACGTCCGGTCTCAGCACTGGCCGTCCTTCAGTATGTACTCTGTCGCACGGCCTGCCGCCCGTTGGCGTTGCACCGCCGTCTTGCCACGCCCGTACGGCCCTGGACTAACCTCTGCACTTGCCACTGCTACCTGCCCGAAACCTTTCCCGATGATCACACAGTGGCCGCCAGCTCCTCTCGTGCCCGAAACCTTAAACCTACCAACCAGCCACGCATCTCGAAGCAATGCCGAAAACTACGAACAAAACTCTACTCAAATTGAAGCCGCCGACACCACAACCCCTAACATCCCAAACCCCACCCCCAGAAGCCAAGGCAAAGCATGCGGCCCTAACCCCAAACCGCACATGCTAGCCTATAAACTTATAATTACACTCCACGCCCTGAGCTACAGATTACCAATAAGACCCCCAAAAAGCCTGAGCAGCTGACCCGGTGAAAGACCCTATTGTAAACCCTAGACTCATCAACATCTGAACAGCCACGCATTATCAAACAAAAACTCTATACAACAAAATGCAGCCCTATGACACCCTGTAGTCCAATGTGGGCCCTAAAACTCCTATACCCTAACCTGAACCTGTAAAAGTTCGTTCACATCCCCGCCTCCAATCTCCCAGCTGCCCGCAACCGGCAGTGACCCGGGAGAGAAAGCTTTGGCGATTTAAGTTTGCCGGGGGTCTATACGAGTGTTTTCGCGTCCAGGGTTTAGGATTTCGAAGTGCCGACGTCGTAAGTTGACACTGGCAACAACAACTCGACTTCACTCGCAATCGGGCTCTTTGAGCTGGAATGTGACGGGATATTGGTGTAGGATTCAGGGTGTAGGGTTCAGACTCCAGAACCCCTTTACAGAGCCAACTACGAGTCCTTTAAGGGCACCACCTTGAACCCGGCACCTTAAGCGACAGAAGGTTGGTTAGGTTGATGTCCGGTGAGTCGTTCCATCGGTTGCACGCCCTTCTGGAAAAAAGCCATCCCCTGACAGGAGTTGGCGGACTTAGGTTAAGGCGGTTGAGGAGTTGCGGGTTAAGTTAAGGTGATGTGTCAAACCCAATATAAAGCTACAAATTTACATCTGGGTCAACCACACACTTACAGCACAGCTAGGTTTGGGGCACCAGGTGAGGGCTTAATCTCAGCCACGTCGTGAGGCGCTGCTCAAACGCAGGGCTTCTGAGCCAGACGCCAAGCGGAAGGGAGTCAAGTTTCGCACACCTAGAACCACCTACACTCTAATAACAGAGATGCAAAGGGCTTTGCAGTTTTGTAGAGCGTAGTCTAGGTTTCCCTCGGATTTAATTGAATTCACGAGTCGGTACACATACAAGTCTGCATAATTGCAGACTCAAGTCCTCAACAAGTTTTTTCTCCACTAGCCAAGACCCTTAGATCCTGAACTGCAACCCCAAACGCCTCTAAACCTTTCCTATGAACAGTAGCTCAAAACCCTTTAATCCTAAGTTGCAGCACTCTAAATATTAGGTGCCGTATTATATTAAGAACCCAAAAAGGAAACATAATTTTGACAACCACCCAAATAGAAGAATCCACAGGTAAAGCCCACACCCTGCTTAAAGGATCCAGGGACTGTACCTCCTGCCAAGTCCTCGGAGTCCTTCTGCGCCTCAAAAACCCGTAAGTTTAGGATTTAGGGTCTAGGATCTAGGGTTGAGGGTCTAGGATTTAGGGTTTATGATCTAGGATTTAGGGTTCAGGGTCTAGCATGTAGGGTTTAGGGCCTTAGTCCTAACTACCCTAAACCGTAAACTCTCCGGCAGCACACTGAGAAGCCCCACTGCGTGCTTCGCTCCGGGCGGTCGGCCTACATCAGTGGTGGAGCCCATTTTGCTTTCAGTTTAGGGTCTAAGGGTTAGGACTTCGGTAAGGAGTGTTGCGGGTTTCCGGGTTGCCGGACTAAACTAGCTTTTAGGGTTTAGGGCTCAAGCGGTTTAAGGATGTTATCGGAGTAAGCCAGGGTTGAGACTCTGACTCCGACGGGTTTCTTGGAAGACCTAGTAACCCATTAGAAAAGGGTTCCTATCAAGAGGGTCTTTAAGAGCTGCTATAAAGGGCAATTGAAAGGATTTGGTATAGGGGCCTTGATAAAAAATAGGGCTTTGGGCCCATCATACTATATAGCTGTAATAAGGAGCCCCCACAATAGTACAGGTAATTATTTAGGCCCCTATAGTTAGTAGTAGTCGATTTATGTTCTGGCATGACCCTGGCTAACCAAGCAAGCAACTACAAAAGCACGCACAGGGTCCAATATAGGGGCCTCGTGAAGAAGGACGTTTTTGGTGTATAGCGGTATAGCTGTAATAAGACTAAGCAGCAACAACATGTCCGAGCAGGGTGCTTTTATGAGTAGGTAGTTGGACTCCCATATTAGACAGTTTTCATGTCTCGTGAGCAAGCGCATCCCCGAAGTATCTGAGACTCCCAACGGCGCAGGGAAGCGTGGTGTCGGCACCGGCCTGTGCGACAACCGGGGGATGGTGGGCTTAATATGGTTTAGTCTTTCCAGTGATTCAGGACACAATAGTATGGAGTTTAAGCTACATCCAGAATCATCTTCGCCTAAGCGCCAAGTACAGAACTGCAACGTACTGAAACATCCAAAAGCCGTATTACTTTAAAGCCAAAGTATTATATACTAAATGGGTACATGGAGCCTTATATACCGTAACTACCCCTGAAACCTTATGGCACCCTTGTAGAACCCTTGAAGAAACCCTACTTGGGCGTATGGACCCTTAGGGTAAGTACCGTCAGCGAATCAAGAACAACATGTTCACCACCTTCATACCCTGTGTGTAGTAGCGCCCATGCGCCTTCTTATCAAAACAAACCGTTCAATGCCAACCCTTCACTACCGCCAAACCATAAACCGCTCTATAAACCCTAAACTCTAAGCCCTGTAAACCCTTGGCACTATGAATCCTAAACCCTCCTAAACCCTATATTTTCCTAAACCCTAAAGTTAAATTCTAAACCCTCTAAACCACTACCGCTATGAACAGTCAACCCTATGTTCCCCAAAACCCAGAGAAGGACCAGGGGATGAGGACTGAACCCACATGGCCAACGTTTAAAGCTCAAGCCTTGATAGATTTTGGGACGAGTGCTCGTAGCATAGGGGCCTCAATAATGAAAATAGGGTTTTGGGGGTATGTGTGCAGGGTTTCAGATTTGTGGGCAGCTGTCGTTTCCGCTCAACACGTGGGATAAGGGTTGAACACAGGAGCATGAATATACATTGTGGTCATGTTGCCGTTTTGGTGCACATGAGTGCACATTACTGTATACTTTCAGAAACTATGTAAAATCAGAGCTCCATTGGAAAGTATGACGAATTCTTCTAATATTCCGGCACCTGTATTGAACCCTATAAACCCCAAACCGCTAAAGACACCCAAAGCTCTAAGCCCCTGAGCTTCCACACCATCCTTCCAGGTAGAGGCGCGTCGTATCCTCAACTGACACCCGACTCTACAAAGAGGGTTTAGGGTCAGGGGTTTAGGGTTTAGGGTGCAGGTTCAGGGGTTTAGGGAGAGTGTCTGGTGATACCTAGACCCTACAATGCAGAACTTGACTGGGCTTACCTTACTGCTTCTTAGTATACACTGTCAAACATAGAACAGGTTCTCCTTGTAGGGTATAAGTTGGGCTTCGGTTGTAGGATTGCAGGATGTAGGGCTGTGGGGTTTAGACGTTTGGGAATCTACGCGTCGGAAGCGGATGGCTAGTTACATGTCCATTAATGTCCCACTATAGCCACTACGTAATTATACTACGATATATCCCACAATCTTGTTTATTTTACTTGTGTCTCGGGACTGCCATGAGGCGACTTTACATAAAAAAGGTAAAGGGTCAAGCATCTCAAGAAGGTTGAGCACAGCAGGACCCTGCTGAAATCTAGAGTCCAAACCAAACAGGCCAGACCCTAAACCCTAAACCCCTAAACCCTAAAGTTCTTCAGCACTTGCCCGGAACTTGGGATGTTTGGCCCTCAGAGTACGTGGGGCGGAGGTTCTTGAAGGCTGGTCCCGGGCTATTACCTTGACCAAACATCCGGTCATTCGACCAGAGCATCTTCTGGTTGGCGACCCTCATGTGTGCGGCCTTAACAATTAGAGCCGGAATCTTAATTCGATGACACCGCAAACCTTGAAGCTGAGCGCTTATAAAAGCCCTTCAGAGCCTTAACAAACCTGCAAAAATCCTTAGCCCTACAGCATCGTAAAGCCGTCAAGCCCCTAGTGAGCCCTAAATCCTAAGCCCCTAGCCGGAGGCCTAAACCCTAAACCCTAAATCCGAAACCCTAAATCCTAACCTCTAAACCCTAAGCCTCTAGGAGCCCTAACTGTAAAACTCTGTGAAAACGCTGAGAACACTCGTACATGCTGCATAAATCGCCGAAACCCCGCAGCCCTCTAGCACCTTTATAGATCCTTTTTGGAGTTTGGGTTTAAGGTTTAGGGTTTCGGGGTTTAGGAGTATCGGGGTCCTTTAAAGGGATCCATGACAGGAACACTTACAAGGCTGCTAAGACATGTGCAAACCTCTGGTTTTTCACCCCGGGGTGCCTCTCCGAACAGGCGGGCCGCTCGGGCGGTCAAGGGCGAGCCTGCCGTGGTGCCTGAGTTAGCTTGGGCTCTGGGCTTCTACAAGGGATGTGTGCAGCTTTACAGGCACTTACAGGATTCATGAAATTTCCAGTATTAGAGGCCTTGGTATAGCTCGAAGAGGGTTCAATAGGGTTTAGAGGTATCCACATTTATCGTTTGGGGTGTGAGTCACTGTTTCAAGTTGTGAATCATTACAGGCAGTACTTAATTTTCACAAGACTTAGAAGATCAGGAAGATGTAGGCGATACATGGAGTCAGAAAGTACCTTGCATCAAACCCTAAACCCCGAAGCCCTAAACCCTAAACCCCTTGTTTACGATGCTAGTACCTTCCGAAGCCCCGGCATCCTTCGAGGGGTATAAAGTTCGGAATTTCATGCAGATCAGAGCTTGAGGTGTTTTTGGCCCTAAATTATGAGCCGAGTCCTTGGTTTAGTCATATGGGGCTGTAGGGTTTCAGTTTCAGGTTGTATTGCATAATTAACTAAGCCTTCGACTCGAGCCCCAAGTTTTACTACCTGACACCCCAACCCGTAATTTATAGAACCCGAACTACGGTTGATGATATAAATCCTGCATTACCTTAGGACCTAAACTATGGGAATACTGGTATATTCCTTATTATGGGTAGTGCAGGATTTATAACACCAACCGTAGGGGCCGAGAACAAGGATCCTATATCAATTAGACTAAACACCTTAATGAAAGGGGATGCCAATCGCGAGATCCATCTTGCGGACGCCTGATTACGTAGCAAACCCCCTCTCTTTGAGTACCCATATAAAAGGATCCCCAAATAATCCCTGCAGGCGGGAAAGGATTCATTGATCAAGGGTCTGTATACATTCTATTCACATAGGTTTCCATCCCTAAATGTCAATTATGCCGCCCTCAAGGAAATCGCATGGAACCCATATTCCGCTCCACAACTCCAGACCCCAATTGCTATATCCTACAGCAGAAGCCAGAAAGTTGGAATATCATTACCGTAACCCCTTTAAGGTAAATTATAGGGGATCCTACCATTAATCCATATTCCAACTTTCTGGAGTTCCCTTTAAGTCTTTTATCCCAAACCCAACAACCTTACCACCATACAAATCCCAAAAAACGTCTCAAACCACTCTAACCCGCTAAAAACGACCCTGGCCTGGGCGATGAACGCCCCAACCCGCAAACCCAACACCGAGCCCAAAACCCCCGAAGGGTCCAAGTATCCATTGTAGTTTATACTTATAGGGTAGTTTGGGGGTGGACCCTTTTGGACCATGAATCTTAAACACTCAGGAAAGTACCTCTAAACCCTTTTGAACCTACTGGACTCTATGGAGCTACCCTGTTAGGGTTTCCTCGCGTGATCTCCTTTGTGGCCGGCTAGGTGATGCAGACGAATCCAGCTCACACAGCCGGCCGAAAACGTCAACGGCACGGGCCCGTCATATCGCACCAAATCCGTGCTATCCCACGCATAAATTTCTTCCAAGAGCTGAACAAAGCCCTGTGCAGGCCAGTCCTGCTCCTCATCATCTCGTTCGCCAAAGGACAGCCAAGGTGCCACTTTAAAGAGCCGATCCGGGATGCTTTGGGCGCTGCAGGAACTATTGGCGTGCTTTTGCTGAAGTACTCCACCAGTGTTGTAGATGAGGCCGGGTGGTCCGCGGAGTTCGCTGCCCCCCTCCCGCCTGCAATTCGCTGTGCTGAACCAAATCCGCCGAGGCCACGGGCTCTAGGAGTCTAACCCTAAAGACCCCTCTCAGTAATTAACTTGTAGGAACCCTTCAAAAAAACCTGCAGGGACCTTAAACCTTAAACCCCTAACGGCTGCCAAGGCTGCGTGGGGAAGCTCTTGGGGATGGCCCGGGAGGTGCCTCCCGTATCCTGGCTTAAGGCTTAGGTTTAGGGGTTTAGGGATTTAGATGGAGTTAGGGTTTAGGGTTTTAGAGTTTAGGGCGGATCTGCGATTTTTGTACTGCAGGAACCTGATTAAGAAAGAAGGCCCTATAACCCCAAAATACTAGAATTCAAACAACAAACTCAATAAAGATCTAGGGTTTCTTAACCAGCAATATTGGGTTACGGCTTTGGGATTGTAGGGTGTGGGCTTTGAGGCTTGACATGTTTGGGGTTTAGTGGTAGAGGCATAGGGCTTTGAGGTGTGAGGTTTACGGTTTCAGGGTTCAGGGCGTAAGGTTTAGAGTTAGAGGGTTACTTGGAGGTTCATAGGTAATTATAAACGGAGTCGTAAGTCCCCTAATATGGGTTATAACTATAGCTACCCTACTTATAAACCCCCCTTTTAACTACCCATGAACCTCCAAGTAGGGTTTGATTGGAGCTTGCGGGCTGTAGAGTTTTAGGGTTCGGGGGCTGAGACTAGCATTTAGACTTGCGGGCCAACTGAGGTCGAGAGGAACATATGGATTTGGCAAATACACTACTTACAAGACACTACGTACTAGACCCAAACTTGTGCGGGGGTATTGGGCAAACGGGTCAGTTTCGTTCGTAAGCCTGAGCTGTGGGTTTAGTTTTCGGATTTGTGCAGTTTAGATCTCTCATCCATGTGGAGGCTGCTGGAATGATCGTAGATGTTCGAAGTCAGCGACATGTCACAACAACGTCCAGTCCGACTTGCTTCTTTTGATGTGTATTGGCTAGGTCTCCCTAGTCTGTCCATTGCAGACATACACAGGTGAGACAAACCACGACGATTACGAACTCGCCCGCACTTGTCCCCATAGTTCTGAGGCATGGATGTAGTTGTTATTGTTACAGGACACCCCTGGCACCGGCACAGTTGACGAGGTCAAAGTCGCCTCCGACTGTGCTTAGGGTTCAAGGCTTGACTTAGGTTGAGCCTGCCTAAACCCTAAACCCTAAACCCTAAACCCGATAGTTACGACCCGCCCAGACAGCCAGCAAGGAAGCCCCAAGGTCCGGAGCACAAATCAGGAGGAACTCGGTTTACAGCTTTCACGGGATAAGATTTATACGCTTTAGTTCCGGGTTTAGAGATAAAGGTGTTGTTATAATATCTACTTTAAAATTTTGAAGGCTGCGCGGCTTCAGGGATAGATAGTTTCACCCGGCAACCGTGGCCACTAAACTTGAGCATTGCAGACTTGAAGGTGTGCTGCTCCTTTCGAAGAAGTGTCACCTAGCGTCTATCTATCTATCTGTCGATGTATCTATCCGGGTTCCCTTCGTACATTTTGATCTACATATACACATATATATATACATATATATATATATACATACATATGTATATGTATGTGTCTTCATTCATTGTTCATGTAATATGTATATATATATATATATATATTATACACACACATACACCTCTTGCCCCAAGCAAGCAGCATCGTCGTAGGTTACCGAAGGCCCAAACTTTGGAGCAGCACAAGGACGTAATGCATAGGGCCTTTGGGCTAGTTAGAGCCTTATTATAGGGTACCTTGAGAGGCGGTTCAGGGCTTAGGGTTTAGGGAGCCCTGCATCGGAGCTCCTCAAACCTTCCTGGGTGGTTGTCAAAATTACGATCCCGTTTTGGGTACCCTAAATATTAGGTGCCGTATTTTGATAAGGATCCCAACAGGGACCCTAATATTCCTTAAGGGTCCATGTGCCCAAATAGTATATACTTTGGGCCCAATGTACCTATATAGGGCGCACTTCAAGGCCAAAGTACATACTATTTGAGCACATGGACCCTCAGGGATTGACAACCACCTACCTGGAGTGTCCCCTAGCTTTTTTGAGAGACCCACTGCTTTTCTCCTAGAGATCCGAACCATAAATATTAGGTACCCGCGAAAAGGGTTAGGGTGTGCCTCTGTGGATGAACTCTGAGCCCTCACCCTAAGCCCGAAAACCTGAATCTGTCACGTGGGTTCCAGTGTTCGATTTAGGGTTTAGAGGTTGGGGGCTTTCTTTCTAAACCCTTAAACAAGCCCTAAATCCCAAACAAAAGAGAAAGCGCCAGGGCCACATGGAGCCGCCCGGTTTCCGAGCTGTTCCGCGTGGCGTGCACAACCTTAGGGTTTCGGGGGCCCCCTGAGGACTGGGTTTACTTAGAGGTTCATGGGTAGTTATACTTACTAGACCCAAGAGTAACCTAGGAATAACAAGGGTGCCCTTTTTGGTTTAAAGGGGCTTATAGGGAACCAGAACCCTAAACAAGGGAATAAGGGCCTACTCTAGGTCCCAGATGATAATTAGGGTTATAGGTAAAGTCACTATAGTTGTAACCCATAATCAAGGACTTATAACCATTTGTAACTACTCATGAACCTGCACGTAGGCTCGGGGTGTATAGCTTAGGATAGTAAGGGTGTGTAGTTCTACTATATAGTTCCTACATGGGTTGCTGTATGAGTTCTACAAGGGGCTAGCATAACGGGCTGTATAAGGTCTCTGGCTGTAGGGGATCAGTTTAGCGCCTCGGGGCTGTGAGGTAATCCAAGACCTATGCCCAGCACGCCGCAAGCCCTCAACCCGAAAACTCCAAACCCAGAAGATGTTCGACCTCAAAAAGATCGACTTTCCTCCTTCGGGGTACCACGTAACACTTCCATCTCCCTGTGGCCCAAATAACCTAGCTTGTACAGGGCTCATATATGGAAATCATTATAGGGAACCCTGAAAAGGTAGGGTATTCAGGGTTAAGGAAGGGATCAGGGATTAGAGTTGACTAGACTGTAAGCGGGGCTAAAAGTGTTTAAATTTAAGTAAGATATCCTTACTGGGGCCAAGTCCTACCCCCATCATCACCAGCATCTTACCTTTGACCCTTGGCCTTTGGGATAACAGAGTAATCATATTGCCAAACGCCTGCATTAATTTAAGTACCTCATACTATGCGGACCTCATTGCGGAGAACGTAGGGTTCGCCGTCAACACTAAAGCCCGAGAATATAAGCATGGCAACCCATAACCAGCAAGCTGCAACACACTTCGTTCGGCTTTTAGGCAGTAGTGACCCCCGATGTGACCAAAGCCCTATCCCTAAATCTGAATCATAAATTAGAAGCTGCCCCCACCCTGTAATAGTGACCATAAGGATTATATTAGGGCCCTAGTATATTCCTATTATGTTCCTACTATACCACTATTACAGGGTGGGGGCCCCTCCTAAATCATAAACTCCCAACCCCAAAGCCCTGCGCCCTGGCAAGGTATCCAAACCCTAAGCCCGAAATGCCTTAGACCCTGCACCCCAAACCTTAAAGGGGACTCCAGAAAGTTGGAATATGGTTTCAGGGTAGGATACCCTATAATTTACCATAAAGGGTTTAGGATAATCATATTCCAACTTTCTGGCTTTTGCCTTAGACCCTGCACCCCAAACCCTGAGCCTTAAACTCTGAACCCGAAACCTCAAACACTTCTACACCGGCTCATGGCCTGCGAACCCTAAACCCTAAACCTTCAACTCTAAACCCGCAACGAAAAACATTGTCAGTGCTACTAGCTGAGGCGGGTTATACAAGGCTAGCAACTGTCGCATCTTTTTGCTGTTTCCAAAGTTGTGAATGACATCAAAACTCCAGGCCAAAGGGTGTATAGGGCTTACTGTAAACTCCTCAAGCCTTCACAAGTCAGCAAAACTGCTGGTCTTTTTTTGTCGTCTTCGAGTCCATGGTTTATGGCGCCCTGCGTGTTTAAAAGTTTACCTTGCTTTTCCGGCAACCAAGTATGAACATAAACCATTACCGTAACCCTGAATAACCTCCCTGTTTAGGGTTCCACAAATATGAGTTCTTCATATACGTCCTCAAAAAGTGTAAGTTATTTGTGGTTAAGGTAAAGTTTAGGCTTGGAGGGCCTCAAGAAGGTTCGAAGGGAGAAGCAAGCTATGTGGCAGGGACACCAGGTGCTGGCGCGCTCAGCTAAAATCTTCGAGACTGTATAGCCGATTCCCAGGCAAAGTTTCAGGCCTTGAGTCTGATATATACGGCTGATGATATAAATCCTGCATTACCCATAATAAGGAATATACTGTAATTCCCATAGTTTAGGGTCCTTCAGGTAATGCAGGATTACTATCATCAACCGTAGCATCAGAAAATCGTATATTTAAGAGCGTATTTCAAGAAATCAAACTAAGGAGCCCTTAAATGATTGAAACAGGGTTTTGGGTTCTTCATAGTAGAGTAGTCATAGTTATTATAACAATGAACCCTTTAACATAGGATTGGTAATGTCTCTCCAGGCTTCATACATTACGGCTGAGGACGCTGAGGCGTCAAGCTTTAAAGGCGCTTCATGTTTTCAGGTTGCTTTGGATTTAGGGCTTTACGGCTTTAGGAGTTTCGGGCCTCGTCATGCTACACTGCTGAGCGTTTGGGACATACATGGGAGTTTCCGAAAATTAGGGGTACCTTATTTTGGGGTCCTTATAATAAGGATCCTACTATTTAGGGTACTATAGTAGGGTCCCCTATTTTCGGGAACTCCCACATGGGACAAGGGGCCCCGCCAGTTCTAGGGATGTGACAAGAGTAACATCAGGACCTTATAGTAAGTAAGGCCTTGGGCGGTATCATCGTAGACCTATAACAACTATGTGGGAGTTTGCAAAAATGGGGGACTCTAGTATAGTACCCTAAATAGTAGGATCCTTATTATGAGGACCCCCAAAGTAGGGTGCCTCTGATTTTCGGAAACTCCCAAGTGGGGACTACCAGGCAATGCAAAGGGATATTACTGTGCTTGATAAACTTTGTAAAACCACTGAAATACAATGTAAGCACGCGGGTGTTGTGTCAGGGTTAGACAGGGACCGTTGCTGATGCAGTAGCAGCCATGTTTGGCACATTCGTTGGCACATCGATCTACAAAACTATAGAAGCAACACTATCCGTCACTACCCATATGCGACAAAGCTACCAGTACGACTACACGCACGAAGTCTGCTACTGCTATTGCTACCTCTACTTCTACCTCTACTTGTAATTCTACTTCTACTATATATATATATATATACTACTACTACTACTACTACTACTACTACTACTACTACTACTACTACTACTACTACTACTACTACTACTACTACTACTACTACTACTACTACTACTACTACTTACTACTACTACTACTACTACTACTACTACTACTACTACTGCTACTACTGCTACTACTACTACTACGACGACGACTACGTCTACGACTACGACGACGACTACTACAAGGACGACGACTACTACTGCTGCTACTGCTCCGGCTACTTTCTGAACTTGTACTTGTACTTCGACGTCTCCGTCTACCACGACTATGATGGTCATGACTCATGACGAAAAATCAGAACTGTTCTGTGCTTTCACCGGTCCCACCAGAACAGGCACACTGATAGTGCATGTGCTCGCTGCAAACGTTAGGCAATAAAACAGGAGAACATTCTATCTTATTATCAGCTATAAACGGAACTGTAGAACCAGCGAACACCAGAAGCACTGCAACATCGTTGGTTCCAAAAGGCAGGAAAATCCAGAATAGCTTCGCATCAAGCAGAACGAAAAGTCTAACGAACATAAAATTTCTGCATTGGCAGTGACTACAAGTTGTGAAGACTGGTGATAGTGAAATCCACGGCAATGGCGGTTATTGATGGTAATTATCGCGCTTGTTGCCGAGCTGTGGCCAATGCTTTTCCAAATTCGAACCTTGGTATTTGGAGCAAGGAGCAAGAGTACTGCTGCCAATGCTTGTTGCTGTTCTCTTTGTTGGGATGAGAGTGGTTTTCATGTTCCCCCGAAGCTCACACCCTGAATCTACTAGTGCTTTCGACTCCCTGAGTGGAACCCGGGATTCGGAGGTACTCTGCTGCTTCGCAGGGCAAGTCTCCTCCAAAGCATCGGCGGTTGGAGGACACCCTGGTACTTATATTAGCAGGGAAGGAGGGGTTGAAGGCTATGATTTTTGAGTTTCTTAGTGTGCTAAGTCTAAAACTCCGAGTCCAGTATTTGGATCAGGGTTTATAAGGTGTAAGATGCTGTAGCCATATAGGGGCGCTCGGTAATCAGTAGTAGTTATTCAAAGCCTTGCGGTGTATTTGCAAAAGCTGGGAAAAGTATGAGGGGCAAACATGTTCACGAAACTACACCGGTCCGTTCTCTCCTTCCCACTAATGACCAGTGCAATGAGATCCACGATCGGGAACGAAACAGCTGGGGCAGGTGCCCATGACAGTGCTCCACAGTCCGAAGCGCCAGGTGTATCGGTGCTGAATGTACGGTAAGGGCCTTAATAAAAGGGTGCCTTAAAGGGGTCTGTAAGGGATCTATAGGGGTCCTATATTGTGTTGGGGCCTTAATAATTAGAATAGGGATTTGGGTCCCATTATACTATAATTGTAATAAGGAAGCCCCAATATAATATGGTAGTTATTCATTCAAGCCCTACATTAAGCCTTCCTCAAACGACTGAGGCGTGCGTCGTGGGACCATGGAGCTTGGGATGCACCCATTTGCAAACCTCGTGTCTAAACCCCCATCTCACACATTTCTGGTTTAGAGTTTATAGGGTTTTGGTCCAAAAGGCGAAGAGGCGTTTGTGAAAATGCGCTGACCACTGATGCCTGCAAACGAATGGGGCCAACACATCTGGGTTTCAGAAGGGCTTTGCGATGCAGGAACATCTCCGAACTCAATAGTCTACGTAGTAGATACTGCTACGAGGTTAGGAGTTGCCGAACATCTGGAGGGGCCCCTAAACCGTAAACCAGACAAGTGCCGGAGGCCCCAGTAAGTCCATCGAACACCTCTGTCACAAGGACCCCTGAGTTCAAACGAACATCAGGAGGGCTTCTGGGCTGCGAGTATGCATGCCACAAACCCTCCAACTTAGTTGATATTTCTAAACCCTCACCTTAAACCTGAACCCTAAATCTCATAGATCCTAGACAGCAAGAGGCCAGCACATGCCTGCTCGCACAACATGTCTTTGAAGCGCAAAACAAGTAACAGGTTCCCAGACGTTCGTATCACCACCAGCGCCCTATGCCACGAACCTCAAATTGCGACAGGGCTTAGA